ATCAGGACACAATGTTTCTGTCTGATGATTGTTTTCTTCTACACAGTGTAAAAAGGAGTTAATGTTTATGGAAGTTTATCTCGTTGGGAGCTGAAGCTTTGAAATGAATCTGGACATTTTTTCCACAATACAAATATTCATAAAGTTTCCTGTTTTAACACGAGTCAGTCAACAGAAACACACTGATTAGTATACAACAGACTGTATATTGTCTGCAGTTTATAACATGTAATCAAATATCATATATTTACAATTCAGTTTTTGTGAGTCAAAATTGTCTCTTAATTGCAAACAGTCAGTTTTTACCATTGACTTCTATTCAAACACAAAGACAGATATTTTTAATTTATTTGTCACTTGTCAAGATGATAATTTCTGATATCAACAAATGATTTCTTGTTATTGAAAATGCTTCTTGTAGAGGCCTTTAACTAAATAACAACTTTTACCATTGACTTCTATTGAAGCTCAGTTACAAATATTTATAATTTATTTCTCACTAGTCAAAATGTTAATGCTTACTATCAATTAATCATTTTGTAGTCTTGAAAATGTCTGTGGCAGATGTTTGTACACTTAATCACAACTAGCAAACTTTAACCATTGACTTCTATTCAAAGTCAAAATGTTAATTCTTGATATCAGCAATTAAGTTCCCCGTGGTGGAAATGTCCATTGTAGATGTCTGTAAGTTTGTCACAGCTTTTACCATTAACTTCTGTTGAAAGTCAATGGCAGATCTCTGTTTTTAATTTTGAATGTTGAATTTCTGTGTTACAGGTGGCAACACTGGACTGATTGTTGGCTGCTGCTGTTTGGGTCTCCTCTCATTAGTTTTGGCTGCAGTTCTGATATATCAGAGTTGGAGGTTGGGATATATCAGAAGATGTTCGATAAGTAAGTTGAAATATAATGTTGTAGTAAAATATCCATAATGTGTAGACATCAGTATAAGGTGCTGCCTCATATCCACTTCATACTTCTGGTAATGTAGATCAGCTGTAGTACCTGGTTGTTCCACCAGGTGGAGCCCCTTACTCTTTAATACTGTGGCGACCAGACGAGGTGGTCAGTTGGACTGTTGGGCAGTAGAGAGCATTGTGGGCTTTAAGCTAGCATGAACACTATGACAAAGACTTTTGCGGAGGTTAATGACCTCCAACCAGAAGTCGTGTGTTTAAGACAAACCAGAATTGACTGGAACAGTGTTCATATATTTCAGTGTCATTCATAATATATCATTTGTCCATTGACTTAAGCACCAACCTGTTGTTCCATCTCAAATCATCAGGAGCCTTCTGCTCA